TTATCTTGTTTCCATAGCATACACAGTTTAATACTCGAAGCTTCATTGTTTGATAACATCTTTCCTGGTGCCTGATTGAACTTCTTTCAGAAGTATATCACACGTCGTCCAGATACGCGTATCATCAAGCATCGAGCAATTGAAAGTCTATATTTTTCGCGATCGTTGATGGCACAGATTTACTTATTTTCTCCTATGGTATTAAATCCCATAACTTGTTTTCTGACAGTTCATATTGCAGTTCATCATCAGGCATCACTGAGCATCATCAGGCATCACCCCAAAACAAATTTTTATTTGCAGCATTAGAAGTTTTATGCATGACATCACACGTGTGAAATAAGGGCAAAAGCAGAGAGGCGATGCAGAACACTATCAAAACTTGAAACGGTCATTAATTTAACCCTCTACCGTCTGACATGAGTAACCGGAGCAATATTATCACAAGTCTATATACTTACCAAAAAGGATACATTGCTAGTGAGCGCAAAATGACTTGCATTGATGGTTGCCGCCAAGTACGACAACTTTAATTAAAATGTTCTCTGTTGCATACAAACGTCGTCAGATTGCTAAATTCAATAGTTATGTATAATTCTAGTTGAAAGTTATGTTACCGGAGAATGACATAAGGCGGTAGTGGGTTAATGGCAAGCCTATGGTCTTTGTTAAACTTACGCCTGGCAAGCGGTGCCTTCCAATAAGTGACGAAAAACCTGGCGAGTACAAACACTAAAATATCTGCACAGTTGTTTTCCTCATTGGTACGTCAATAGTTCAGAATAAAGGTCCAACGACGAATTGAATTTCGAAAACCGAATCACAGACCATTATTTCAAAATAACTTTGAAGTTTGTCAGAAATCAGCAAAGACAAGTGATCAAAATTTAAAACTTTTGGTTGACCAATAGAGAATATTCTCTAAACGTGGTGCTAACTCTAAAAATTGCTATATACACTGTACAAGTCAAATAAACACTTTTCTACGAGCAATACTGCAATTATCTATAAAAATATATTAATTTCCAAAATTTGCTTAATTTCGCAACTTAGAAAGTTAGAAAGTTGCTTTGAGTTGCTTAATTTCGCAACTCGTAAATAATTCAATAAATGTACATGTCTATTAAGCACTAATGAATCACTTAAGTGCATATATATATATTGTTCACGATGAAGTCTTTGAAGTTTTCAAAGACATCGTCACAGATTGGACCAAAAGTTCATGAACCCTCTATTCACACTGATTCAGTTCCTATGACCTTTCCACTATTCAATTGTAGACAATTTAATTTTGCGTTCAGTGAGTGAAACAGGCAGGGAATTTGTTTTTGTTGTTCCAAATAAGTAAGCTAAGCCAACAGAAATTTGCAGCACAAAATTCCAGAGTTCCTGGACACGAAACATGCCTATTATTTAAAGCAGTTATTTCTCGCTAATCAAAACCTTTCCCTACATGTTCTTCTTGCCTGAAATAGGACTTATTGGTGCAAATACAGACCGATGGACAGCTATTGAGTACCTGCAAAAGCACTCAAACTCTTCATATTCGTCCAATGTTTTTAGAAGGTCATTCAATCGACGGACTTGTAAATCTTCCCGCCTATCATCGAGCAGTGTAAAAATTAAAACCGAGAGTAAAAAATAAACATGACTGAGGAAGCTGTATCTTTTGTCGAAAAGAATGACTGCGGGAAAGCATGAAGCGCAGAGCAGTAAAAGAAAATATGCATACAAGTCATTCTTACTCTGAGGGGATGGTAGCGAAAATAATCTTCTGATATTCATAACAATGTTTCAAGGCTGAAATACTTACTTATTTGGCCAAAACTGGTTAGTTTACGTTCATAAGCGTTAGTGCGTGATTGGATGCATAGAAATTCACTTTATTTTCTGTTTCATTAGTTTTTTTAAATACTGCTAGGGAAACGCTATTAAGTTTTGTTCCATCGCATTGTATTTTATTTATTAATTTTGTATATAATTGGGTTGAAGACCTGTGTGTTGACAACGACATGCACCGACCAGTCTGATCTCTGTCAAGGATCGCATTTTATTTATTCCTAATAATTTCTATCTACGTAAGTTTCGTGAACATATGAGCTTTATTCCAGAAATTATTTTTACATTTTTAGAACCTGAATGCCTGCGGTGTTCAATTACCTCAGATAGAATCATCAAATAATCATGAGTCGGAGTGAGTTTCTTATTTTTTTTAAAGCATTAAAGCGGAAAATCACTAGCATTATTATGCTAGTGATTTTCCGCTCAGGAATTTTCCGCTCAGGAAAATAGTGAAAACTGCGATTCTATGATAAATTCAATAGAAATCGGCACAAATTAGAATGCAGATAATCGTACTTAAAAATTCCATCCGTTCTAGTTATGTCTAAGAACAAGCATGAAAATCAATTGGAACATATATAGTTCATCGATACGGTGAGCTTCTTTTTTTCAATACAAGAAAGAAAATCTTCTTTCTTCAGGCAAACCATAACATAATCAACGGTCACGTCACATAATTCACTCCTATTAGTGCTGCATTATTATCCAATAATCTACAACCATACAAACAGCAACTTTCCACCTCAATGGAAAGTTAAACGGCCAAGGTATCCAAGAGTACATGACTGTAGAGGGATTAGCAGAGGAAAGCTCAAAATGTCTTCTGTACAAGTAAGTCATCGAGTGGTGAGCGTTTTCGACTCAATTATTAAGATGACGTTTGATGTCTCGCGTGCTGATCATGCTTGCTGGCTACAGACGGGCGCAAGGGCGCTGCACTCTCAGAGCGCTACAAACTTCTGGACTTTTAATGTTTTCGCGTACATTTCTCTCGTGCATATGCTTCAAGGCGTCCTGCACGCTACTTCCAACAAAAATGATAGCCAGGGAAGTTCCGAGTCGGTGCCTATGTCTTCACATTCAAATAATAACTAGATGTCACTTTGACGGTCTATCGTTTCAGCGTCGGTAAGGGCATTATACCGCACCGAAGACTGATGTAAAAATCAAACGGGCTGTGGAACTAAATACTTGAAATTGAATCAAGACATCTCGTTTGAACAATTTAAATTCTCTAGTTCAGGTTGAGCCAAGTACTTGTATCATAAGAGGAACATTGAAATAATTGGTTTGAAACACCCAAAAATATGTGCTCAAAGGGACAATCGTACATACGAGTAGCAACATTAGCACATCTGAAGCTTAATCGAAGGTCTTCCTGATAGCGGCGTAAGAACCTCCAGCATTGTTCCTCCTCCCTCGACAAAAACTTGAACACGGACTTAACTCCGACGAGTTATCTCTGCATATGAACAGACCAGTTCTTACAACAGTGACGTTCAATTCCTCAAAGCATGCACAGTACCTCGACAATTATCGATCGAGAATTGTATATAGGTAAGAGAATCAGAAGGTCTATCGAAAACTCAATTGCTGTTCCAAATTGTTCACCGTTTGATCATTATAATTACAAATAAATTTTCAATTTTAGTTCAATATGATGGCTAATCAATAAAAAATGCGTATTCATTCAGCCAAAGATACCACGGAATTGAAAAATGAGTGTCAACCTCGACATGGAATACTTCGTACGCGATAGATTGACCTGTTGATTAACTGAAAAATCTGTTGTCTTAGAGGGAACTTTTTACGTGTCTCTGTGCTTGTGAGTGATGAAAGATTCTGATTTGAGAAATTTGTCATAATTGAGATATTCCGCCTTGTTAGTGGTGTTTATTCATAACTTTCAGTGCGAGATAACATTCTTGAAGCCGTATTATACTATTTCACCATTTAACTAACTCACAAAGATCTAAATCTTTCATAAGAAAAATTCTTAGACGTCTTGGTTGAGCTGAATTCAAAGCATTGTGGCGTATGATAAGACGAAAAATTGAGTCCCTAAGATAGGGGCTCTTTGACCCGTTCTCACTAAACTATTCAAATACGATTCAAAGTCTCAAGTGAGTTCAGGTACACTGGGAAGTATTAGTATGTAAGTTTGTTATCAGCATTTCTAATTAACAAGTTTCCATATATTCTCTTTATTGACATCCATCATACTTTTTCACTATTGACGTCGTTACATCACGTGCCTCCACGAATGGAGAATCCCTCAGTCCCATCGTCTCCTTGACTCAGTTGCCGTCGCAATGGCCCGGAGCGCTACAAACAAACGACCATGAACATAAGGTACCGACTCAATTCCTCGTACGCTGAGATTCAAATTAAATATTTCTAGACTTATCACTGGTATATAGTTGGCAAAATCTGATCATCTTTACATTGCATATTTACTTACTTATGTTTTTGTTTTAATTGTATTTACTATGTTCCTCCAAACTGCGTATTCTTGATTCAGCGCAGTAAGAAATCAGTTTCCCCAAGTAATTTTATACGTCAACAATTTTAAAAAGAGTTTTTTACACGAGCGTAGCTCATACTTTATACTTGTAATGAATTCGTTTCTTCAAAGGCTGTATCATCATCAACATATCTTCGGTCACTGCGACCAAACTAATTTGGAGAGATGAAATTGTGAAAAATAGTCCCTTCCTCTTTTGAAAACGAAAATAAAAATTAACTAGAACATTTAACCTATTACCAATCAGTCTTCGTGAATTACTCCGATCTAATGCGTGCATTATCCATAGTAAAATTATAAATTGTTTAGTCATTAATAGTTAGTTTTCATAACAACGTTTAATCTGGAACTTGTATGAATAATACTCGTGCAATTTGTTGATTGCACTGATACGGAGACAGGTTATAAGACGCCGATGCAGATTTGTACTTTGGAGTAGATTTCCAGACACGTATTGGGTATGATAATATAGTTTGTTCCTTCAGTGCATTGTTTTCATTTGATAAATACATTATTACACGATTAAAAATAATTTTTACCCTCATAGAAACGAAGTTTGTTGATCGAACGTCCGTCTGTTGTGCGGGTTGTCAAGCGCTGGTCACTGGCTAGACGCTAGAGTCTAGACAGTGTTTACGCTGTTGTGACTAGTACTGACTACAGCGCTGTAATTGCCAGTGAGTTGCTGCGCATAGGTGTACGTAAACTTCATTACATATGTGAATGATAAATCTCGTTGTTCATTAGAGCGTACAAATGACTCAAATAAGCCTTTTGAATTTTTCGCGAAATAGGTTATTATGTTCAATTAAATAATTGGTAATGCAATTGATAGAGTTTTTTAATATCACATACGTTACCGTCGAGATAACAATTAATTGCTTGCGCAAAGTGCCCCACTGCTTTGAGCCATAGACATGGATGAAATTGTTGGTTCAAGGCGCATCATTTTTCTCAGGAAACTTGAGGCGTTCGTTCGAAAATTTTTAACGGCTAAGTAAAGTGATGCACTTTACGAGTGAATTTGTTTAAGTTGCTTGATAGCAATTTTGCACATTGTGCTGAATATCTGACCTTTGTTGCAGAAAGCTCTTTGACTATGGTGTGCTATCAAGAAGCGAGGGATCTCTCGAACCCTCAGTATGAATCCTTCACGTCCATCGGCCGTTGCATTCATTTTGCTGACTTCCACGACTGCTGGGAGAGAAAGGATTTCGTCACCCGACGCTTAAATAGCACCATAAGCAGCTGTGGATTTCAGGTCAGCGATTATTCTATAAATAATTCTTCATTCTTCTTCTACGTGGCTTGTAATATCAAATTAAAAGGCTTCAGGCAGATTTCATAACTCTTTCTATATGACCAAGTTCATTATTGTTTTTTTTTTTCTTTTTGCTAGCTGGATATCCGAAACTGACGTAGAAGCTTGGTTGGAACCGTTAAATGTTACATTATCATTTAAGTCCTAAACTGCTCAGGAAGATGACGTTCCTAGTTCTATTCATTATTTTGTTCCTCAGTTTACATTATCATTTAAGTCCTAAACTCTGCTCAGGAAGATGACGTTCCGAGTTCTATTCATTAGTTTGTTCCTCAGGTTTTGTGGATGGCTCCCTCCAAGACAACCACTGAGCACAATTTCTACGGCAACATGACGTTCACAATAGATTTCAACGAACTTCTTGATCACGTCAGGCCTGCAAACATGTACTATGTGGATCAAATCATGTTCAACCAGCATATGGTTACAAGAATTTTACTCACGCGTCATTCGTACCCTCGTCTGAAATCGGTGAACACTTCAGCAGCGGACTCGCCTCTAAAGGCCACGTATGGATCACCGCGTGGCTGGCAACACGCCACATCGTGTTCCGTATATGGTAGAATGCAACCTCATGAGCTGGAAATTGCCTTCGACCCCACAGGAAGTGACAGCTCGTGGCTCTTCCGCAAATGCAGAATTTCAGCGAACTATCACTCGAAGGCTAATACCGGTGCGTACCACGTCTGTCACAGATTTAATAATTTCGGAGCTCAGTGTCCGCATTCTTTGGATGACGAAAGCAGCGTCCGCATTATACGTTCCTGGGTGAAAGCACTTGAAGAAAATGAAAAAAATGTAAGCACTTCTGCAAAAGCGGACCGTGATGTGTTTGCGCTAGCGTACAAGGAGGTTACAGGCAAAGAATACGACAACAGAGGAAGAGGCTTTTAGGTCAGAGCCTCTGTCTGGATAAACTACAACCGAGTCCTTGGTCCAGAAAATTTAATTGGAAAGTGTATGCACTGCATATATAATATGCTCAAGAATTGAATATTATTTTAAAAGCTGTAGATTTCTTTAAAGTATTATATTCGCGTGTGTGTTGGACAAAAAATTAGGTGAATCTTGACCTGCAAGAAAGTCGAAGTGCAGTGAAGTTTTTTAATGATGTCGCAAATTCTGGAAATAATTCAAATTATATTTTTCAATTCGACTGATAAGTTCTCATGGGTTTTTCTTGCATTTTAGCTAAAATGATTTTTAATTGTAGTCGCTTCGGATAATTCATTTACTGTTGAAAAGTGTTTTCTTAGAATTAGATTCATTTTAAGATCATACGACAGTCTTATGCAATTCTCTGACTCGGATACATCCACTTAAAAATCTCGATATGGAGATATGTCAAATTTGTATTTTCTTGGAAATATACATATTGGTTCCGAAACTTTGTAGTGATTTCATGAGTATTATTAGAATAAAACAATATTTTATACTTCTTGATGTCTTAATTAGGTACAATTCTCATCCGTGAACCTATAGTCTGAAGGTAAACAAAATGCAGTATTTAAAAGACAACGTAACAACTACAGAAGCCAGTTAACCATGGCCAGTTTCTATAAATTTAATATCTGATATTTTTTGTTATAAGTTTGATTTCCGGTAATGACTATTATTACTATGTAATTTAATTCACAATAATTTTAGTACGTAGCGCAAATTTCAACCAAGCCCTCTGGCAACATCGATCGTTGGGGTTCACAGCACCAAGCCAAGCCTCTTCTACTTCTGATGCGCTACTACATAGGGTGTCGAGTACTTTCTCGTGTGTTGTGGTAAAATTAATAATTCACTGGGTGAGTAGTGATCCGAGTGTTAACACTCGGATCTTAACACTAGTTCGCTCTAACACCAGAGGAGAGATCGGCTTCCTGGCAGAAGATCGCCGTCTGAACGTGGCCGTGACCCGAGCACGGCGCTATCTGAGTGTGGTGTGCGACACAGACGTCAGACGTTACAGCAGCACAGCTTCCTAAAGACCTTCGTCGAGTATATGCTCACCAACGCGAAAGTGGTGACCCGCCGTTGATACGAACACCCAGATGTGAACAAATATTCCTCATTGTGAAATAAAACCCAACCTTGCCGACCAACACCCCGAAAAAAACCCTAGGGCCTAATCAAAATTTTTTCAACCGCAACTCTAACGGCCAGACCAGAAACTTTATTCCTCACAAATTTTATTGACATCCTACATATATGTCTATAAATTTTTTCATGTATTCTGATCCTAGCAAATCTGAATATTCAACCTCACAAGATACTTTCCCTTGTTAATTGTACACACAAGAAACATCATCTCATCACCCTGCTCAAGTGCCCTGCCCAAAAGAGATCAGCACGCGGAACTTCAACTCTCAAGACCAGACTGGAAAGGAAGGCAAAACAAACATCAGTACGTGGTACTTCAACTCGCAAGACGAGACTGAAAAAGAAGGCACAACTTACTGCCTACTGCTCTCAATATCAGCAGCCTGAACTTAACCAGAGAGTGAGTCTAATTCAAGAAAATTTTCAGTAAAACCGGTGCAGAATTTTTTTTTTTGTGCGTATTGAGATCAGTGTTGCCATCCTTACAGTGTAAACTGTAAACTGTGTACTATCGATATTGTCTCGCAGCATTGCTAATCCCTTGAGTTCCATTACTAAACCATCCTGTGAGTGTGAAAACATGCTTCTAAACATGCAAATTGATTCAAAACGTTTTCCAATTTGCAAATTGACTGAAAGATCTCGAAAGTGCAAATTGACTCTGAAAGTTGCTAGAGTGTGAAAAATAACTATAATTCATTTAAATGTCATAATGTCATCAATTATTGAACGTCGAGTGAAAATGAAAAAATTTGTGACTACTGACAATTTTAAGTACAAACCGCCTGTAAAGTGAATCTCTTTACCATTATGATTTATGCTTCTTGGCATATGCTGTGTTGTCGCTTCTCAAGGTTGCCACAAAATCAGCACAGCCAAAGATGTGATGCTTCGTGATGTATTCTGCACTTATTAGCCTATCAACATATTTTTGATTGAATTTGTCAGCTAGCAATTTTTTTACAATTGTGTTAATGCACAAAGCTATAAAATTCCTGTTGAACCTAGGTAGCTGCCTTAAATTACTCTCAATCTCAAAGCCAAACTACCTGTAAAATTAATGAGAATATTGTATAGCTGGATTTCCTGTTCCCACTATCAATTAGTGCTAACGATTGTCCTGCCTACAACTTGGTAATATCTCTTTACTTATGAATTAATTTTCTCCATGGACTGAAATTTGTATTCAGGCACTCTCTTTTACGCCTCACAATGCCTGTTGCAAACATGAAGTCTCACTATTATTTTATTTCCACATGTAACCTAGCTTGGACAATTTGAGAGAGAATCCTTCACTGAATTGAAGCAAGCTCCACTTAACCACGTCCCGCTCTGACTATATTTCTCGTCTATAACTATCATACTCCAGCTAATTCTAATTACATTTCGTTTATGCATTCCTATTATTCACAAGCTTACTGATGTTTAATGCCATACACAATGCATGCCCACAAACGTCTGGTAACTATTTTTTTTTTTTGCTCTCTAGAGATAAAGCTTAACGTCGGTTATTCTTTGACCTCTCTTCTCATCTATGATGAATTATAAATATTGCTCCCAATGTATTTTGATAACATCTCGTTTTATGTCATTGACGCAAATGCTATCGATCCTATTATGTATTGCTACAGCACAGGCTACGAGTCTCTGCTAATTCAGTACCGGGATGAATGATATTGATTTTCTCGATTTGCATTACTTTTAAGATTGTTATTGTATCACCGTCTACATATATTCTTAGGGAACTCCGTTCTCGCCGTGGAAGTCCTGTAGTGATTCGCACTAGTATTTCTCATGAATGTCATAGTTACGTAATTTTATTAAACCTTCAAACTCGTGATTATCGACCTCTAACAATATCTTACTTAATTACCTTGATCTCGATTACTTATTGCTGATTTCATCAATTTCATTATTAAACCACTATAAAAATATTGAGACAGTTAATCATCAAATTTTGAGCACGAATAACACTCGTGTAATTACTAAATGATGAAGTACCAGAAAATATTATTGTACTAATTATCGTACCAGAAAATATTGTGAAATTTCTTAAGAACGTCAGTGGAGAACCATTTGCCAATCGCGCATTGGGTAGCTTAGACATTTTCTAAACGAGGTCGTGGGGTAAGCATCAGCTAAGGGGTAAGCTGCTAAGTTATTCTCTAGAATTCAATTCTTTAATGCAATAGAATATTTCAGGAAACTGTAATAACTAAATTGTGCTTTGTATTCTTTGGAATCCCGAAACCGCAAGCCTCGTTAGTACTGAAATGCATTATAGAACGAAAGTTATAGTTTTAAGTCTACTTTTAGCTTAGGTTATTAATCGAACTCTATGCAAGCTTAAAGTTAACATTTAACGACAAACTTAAAACTATACTATTTTCGACAACACGAATCATCGCTCTGCTCAGATAATACCGGTATATCTGTTCAATATCCATCTATTCTATATCCAATTTAAATTTATCCATCGCTTACACATTTACCCAATTTAAATTTACCCCAGAAGTCAGAGCTCGCCTTTAATATCTTTTTACTGCTCTCAGCTGCAATCGTTCTCACAAAAGCACTAAGAACTCGCTTGGATCTCACTGCATGGAGCCTAGAACGGTCCAGAAGTCACAAAAATTTCATAATAGCTGCAGCAGCATCGCTAATACTGTTAGACTTCTAGAATAAAGCAACAATTAAGGATGAATAATGAGACAACACGATGTAAGCCACGTGGTGTGATCATTATGACAAAATATTTGAATGTTTAAAATCAAAGAATGTACCACAATAGATGCAAAATACCTTCTTAAGTGATCAAATTCTGTTCCAATATCTTCTAGAACTGTTCCATGAAAAACATTCGCCCATAACCCAGAGGTTAGCTGTTAAACGTAACTGTTACAGAAGCAGCTAGGATATGTGGAGTGTGACGGTCACCTTCTTATAACTGGATTCTTTATCATTAAATTGATCTCGATGAAACGCAAGATCGGTGCTACACAGACCACAGTGCACACTTGCGCCGCTCAGCCAATTCTCTAAAAAAATATTTAAGTAAATTTAATGTTTCATTATTGTGTTCCATTTCCTCCGCAAGCAGATTATGAATCCCGTTGAGATGCTCTCACTAGCTCAATTACTCCCATTCAATTAAACGAAAAAAATTTTGTAACACATCAGATCTGAAACACTTGTCTAAAACAAAAATTGTCTTCATCTGCTAAATCACTAGAAGACATCATCATGAAAATAGCCAATTAGATGTATCTAAACATTATTAGGTAATACATTATGATTTAAATTCCATCTCTTTCGTGATAAGAAGAATAAGTTTCATGCTCATGAGAGGAAGACTTCGTTGAACTCTTAGAAATCGCTTGTAATGTCAGATAATTTCGTGTTAACAAACTGTAAGTTGAAGAAAACCCAGATTTTACTTTCTGTCACCATCGCCTCAACAGTAGAGTGGCTGTCGATGCGGCCTCGTAATCTCAACTGGAGGGTTCGATCCCCAGATTCATCTGAGGATTTGCAGGTCGTGCGTTAGCGTACGCGAGAGGAGCAGCTGGGGAGTGATTAACGATACTTGCGGCCGCACGCAACTCCTGGAAGTTGAGGATGAAGCCAAACTGGCGCGCGTTGTGCGCCAACGATGAGAGCCGTTGTCAGTGATGGACAATGCGCACAGCCGTGCGTAAATCAAAGCATGGAAGCTCCCCTCTAAAGAAAGTGGAATGCATCATTGTCTCGAAGCAACGTACGCTCGCACGTCGAGTGAAAGTCATAGCGATATAGGCACAATTGCATTATTATAGAAGGATATTTGCGGGCTGTTTAATCACAGGCTACTATACGAACTATGAGATGCGAATAAAAATAATTCCAAGAAGTTATGCAGGGTTTCTCTGAATGAAGGACAAAATTAAACAAATTCGTATTTATTTCAGCTAAATCCAAAATGAAAAAATTATACACCAATGGAAAGAGAACAACTCAATTTTATTTAATCTATTCAAAGTAATTCATATTAACTTAACCCATTGACATCTTGATGTTCAAAACTTTTTGAATCAGTCACATCAATCAGTCACGTTGGATAGGACGCACAGGAAATGAAGATCTGGTTCTACACTAGGTCACCTAATCTCGCGTGACTATTTCTTACGGGGCGACGTCAAGGAAGCTGCTCACGTCCCGCTCTACCAGCAAATCTGGTTGATCTAAAAAACCGTATCACTGCTACGGTGCACTCTGACTCAGTAACAGAAGATATGCTTTCTCGTGTGTGGGACGAGTTTGGGCTACCGTTTAGGTGTTTGCCGTGCAGCATACGGGCNAACCGTATCACTGCTACGGTGCACTCTGACTCAGTAACAGAAGATATGCTTTCTCGTGTGTGGGACGAGTTTGGGCTACCGTTTAGGTGTTTGCCGTGCAGCATACGGGCGACACATGGAACATTTATAAATATGTGAAATAAAACTTGGAATCTTTCGAATAAGGTATAAATTATTCGCTTTGAATTTATACGCAAATAAATACGAATTTGATAAATTGGGTCCATCATTTCGAATAATCCTGTATACGAATACGTTATTTTAATGATGTAAAGTGGATTCATTTGCCCGTGAAAAAATTATGAAGTCCTCGCGGTAATGTTCTCTAGTAGTTGACGCTAGCATGATAATTTCTATAGGAACTTATACAAAAGTAAACCAAAATCCATCTCTAGACAACATCCCCGACACCTTGTGTCTGTTCTCATAAGTCGCACAAAGTTAAATATTTCAGATTTTCACGACACCCACAAGTCAGTATATAAACTGTATTTTCAGGAATAATATCCTTTTCATGATAAACTTGCTACTCGAGAGTGATAAACTAAGACAACAATTGAGAGTGGCCGTGCAATTACGTACAGGAAATGAGAGGATAGGATAGACCGATAGAGAATGGCATGTCAATGTTGTCAACCGCCGTCCCTCGACCAAGTTCTGCTTAGAGAACATACACTTGTGCCCAAAATTATTCACACCCTAAACATCATTTCGACAAATTACGAGAAAAAGACCAAAAAAGCAATTATCTAAAACTTTAAAGATGTAAACCATTTATGAACCATGTAAGCTGCATTTATAAACCAAAAAACATTATTTTTTACGTTTTGCAAAAAGATGCGAAGGAAGCATAAAACTGACTCATGACCAAAATTATTCATACCCTGAATCAACAGTTAATAACATGGACTTTACTCTTGATAACTTGTTGTAAACGCTTATGGTAATGGTCAATAAGGTTCCCGCATGCAACGACGCCAAGTATTGTCCATTCTCCCATGTCATACTGTTTCAATTCCTTCAAATTATTTGGTTGTCTTTCAGTCACCTCTATTTTCAGTACGCGCCAAAAATTCTCACTTGGATTGATATCGGGACATTGACTTGGCAATTCCAGGACTTTGATTGAATCCTCGAACCTTTTCTTAATTATTTTGATGTGTTCTTCGGATCATTATCCTGCTGAAGAATCCAATCAGGACCAAGAGAAAGTTTTTCTGTATCCTGCTTGATGTTATTCTCGATAATATCAAGATATTGCTTTTTCTTGATCCCCTTTACTTTAACTGGAAGGCTTCCTGGTAGTGCACCCGTAAAAACTAAAAAAGCTGGGACACCGCGTAGTAAGTGCCTTGATAGAACCACTGTTCAGCTCTGGGAGAGGGGTGAAAATTAAAATTGCTTTACGTCTGAGGAAACGGCAAAATTTTTGCTGCCAAAAAAACACTATGACAGGAACACTTGGAGCAAAGAAGACTGACGTTGCAGCGATGGCGGAAAATTCCAAAAATAGAGAGCTGTACTCATCCAATTTTTTTTCTGCTGGAGTGGCTGTGGTCAGTTACGTTCCAAAAAGAACAAAACTGTTCGTTTACTCTCTACCCAAGTTCTAGATTATTCAGTATCAGAAGAAAGTCACAAGAAACCAATCGTGATTCTTGGATACAACCGTACTAAATTAAGGAGGTTATGACAATGCAGACAAATTGATTCGCGAATACTCTTTCGCCAGGCGGACCTTAAGATGGCCTCTGAGACTTTTCGTGAACATGATTGATATTAGCGCCCAGAACGCTCTCATAATTTGGCTGTCGAAAAACAAAGGCTGGAAGGGCACTGAGAGAACTCATAGATATCTGTTCCTAATGGAGTTGGGGAAAGACCTGACGAAGCCCAATGTTATTCGCAGGGCACACAATTCAAGTGGTCTCCATCTTCCAATCCTCAGAGCCGTTGAGAGTACAAGAGTACCAGTTGCTCACAACTCCACAGCTAACTCCAGATTTTCGACATCAGAGTAGCAGAGAAGCCGTTCCTATGCGTTTCAATGCAAAAATTAAAAACTCTCCCTGGAGTTTATAAGTTTATTTTGTATCTATAATTAATACAATTTATATTAATGAATTGAAAAACGAATTATCGTTGAAAGTGAAATAATATCAATTAGCAACATAATGTAAATAATTAAACATTAAAGTTCAAGACATGCTGCATTGTATATTAAACACTCAGAGCGACTTTTATGAATATTATAATGAACATATAGTACCTTATTTGGTGAATTTTGACCTTTGGCCGAATTTACAACAATGATTCTTCCTTTCTTCTAAATTGGCTTGAAATGAATGAATTAACGGTTATTAAAAGAATATATGTCCTCATGCACTTAACAATGTCTAAGTATGAAAACAAAATGGGTATCTCATTGAAAGTTCGATGCAATGTTTTACACATCATTTCAGGAAAGTAGAGATAACCCTGTAAGAATTTAACCAGTAGTTTAATTAGAAATTATTGCAAAATTGTTCACCCTGAGGTCATTTCAGACCCCATTTTGGGCCCAAGAGGATTAATTAGTGCG